CACGAACCCTTGTCCCCTGCATCGGCAGGCGGATTCTCAACCACTGCACCACCAGGGAAGCCCCTAAAAGTCATTATTTTGAGAGGAGTTAGAATTAAGTGATTTTTAAATTTCTATTTTGTGCTTTTCTGTGTTTTCCAAAGTATCTAAAATAAACATGCATAGTGCATGTGATTTTTTGTGCTATTTTAGAACTTGAAAAGTAAAATTCATCTTTAGCTCTTGGACCTACAAGTTAAAAAAATGTCTAAAAGCTAAGAAGAAATAAAATGGATATAGTATGTTCTTATGCTTGCCTGCCTTCTCGGAGTCACAGCATTCCCAAGTCACTACCAGAAGAATGAGCAAGGCTCCACCTCCACAAAAAAAGTGATGTTTACTACTGAATCTGTTTCAGCTAAATTCATTGCAATAAAATAATTGCGTTTGGGTTTTTTATAATGAGCTTTTACTATAAAGAGAACATGCAGTTCTATAGCTAGAGAAGCAGTGTTTACCATTTCAGCTGAATTTCATTAAGGGAAATATTTGAATTTATGTTCTTTATAATGAGATTTTACTGGCTTTTCTGTAATATATTTACATAGTACTCTAATTACTTTTTAAAGGTATTGGGTTTTTGTATTGTTTAATTTTAAAACATTGATCACTTAATTTTAAAAGCAACCAAAAAGAATTCTCATTATTTATGTTGAATAGATCGATACATACCTGGGTTCAGCTTAGCATCCTAAAAAAACTGTGGGAAGTCTTTAAAATTTTGTGAAGAACTTCCTAGGACAGCTTACCTATTCAAGTTCATCATCAAGTCTCCATATCTTCTTCAATCTTTTTGGCTAAGTTTGAGAATATTCCATGTAGGGCTTGAACTCCTCAACTATTTAATACCCTTAGGCCTCCATTTTCTCTTCTGACATTTGTTTGATCTATATATCTGCTTAACTGTAATGTTTGTGCTATGAAATTTTATTTTATAACTACATTTTTAAAATTTTAACCAGTTTTTTAAACTCCTGTTTTTCCTTTTGCAGCTGTATGCAGGAGCTATTCTTGAAGTCTGTGGATGAAAATTGGGGAGGTTCCCTCAAGTCCAAGGTATATAAAATCAACTCTAGTAAAATTTCAGTTAATAATTTAAAATCAACATTTCACAAAAATAATTTCATTAAATACTCCCAAGAATAAGAATATTTAAGGTTATACTTTCTCAACAGTATATGAATTTTCTCTACATTTGTCTTCATGGGAGTGGAGTTTTATAATAATTGTTGAATACTAAGTTACTTGACTCTAAGCAAGCATAAAATATGAAATTTAGATTTAAATACAGCACATGGTGAGGTGATTATTTTCTTAAAAGAAGAGACTTTCCTAAGTACAAATTTTATGAGAGCCTTTCTTTTACCAGGTGGAAGTATAATCCTTCTAAATAATATTTTTAATGTAAACTGATTTATATAAAACTCCTAAGGAACAATTGCATTAAGTGAGAGTAGACGTGTACAAAATAACAAACCATCAAGAAGAAAATTAATTACCATAGAACTGGAGGTGTAGAAGAGAGGAGGTCATACAGGTGTATCTTCACAGGAATTAAAGATAAATATGTGAAAGGATAATTGTGAAAGTGTATTCTTTTGGTTGACAACAAACAGTAATGGAGCTCTGTATCTCCAAAAAGACTTGGACTAAAGCTTTTCTATTCCATCCTTGCATGTCAGCTGAAAATCAGTTTTATGAAGGTAATGAAGTTGGTTTTTTGTATTTTGTGGTTTGTTTGTTTTAACTGAAATACATAAGTGCTCTATTTATATACCTTATTTTGTTTTTGTTTCTGCTGCTTTTCCATGATTTCCTGCCTTGTTTACTTAATGGCAAGAGAATTTTTTGGATTTAGTATTTTATAAAATTGCCTGTATTAGCACATTCCCTTTATTGCTGACCTAGAATTGTTTATAATAAAATATTGCTCATTTGGCATGGAAATTAATCCTTGGATTGCAACTTGGGGAGTTGGGAACATTTTGTATGAGACCCAGAGCAGATGCACATCTAATAAATATATTCTTTGTTAGAGTAAGCGCATATTCTGATGTAGCACAGAATATAACATCCACTTCTGCTTAGGAAGAAAATTCTTTACTCTGTATGATTTATTTTGCCTCAAACACTTAAACTCAGTATTGTACCAGAGTTGTTTTGGCTTTTTTTATATCAGTTCTCTGAATGATAATGTGATCATTCTTATTCCTAAAAAGTTTTGGCATTTGCTTTTTAATTATATTCATTATTCTTATTTACTGACTTATTAATAATCTTTTGTGACTCAGATTTTCACAAGGTAAAGAATAGCTTGCAGTTAGCCCTCCTGTTTGTGATATCAGGTTTTCTTATGTCCATGGTAATAATTTCTACAGTTGCTAGTTCAGTCTTTAAAAGATTGAGTGTAGTTTATTAATCCTTAGATTACAACTTAACTATGTATATATATTTCTTATGTATAGTTAAATTATCAGACTGGTGGGTATTTGTAGTCATACTGTCTTTTCCTTTTGAAACATTGGATTTTAATTCTTTATATAAATATTTAATTAGTACAAGCTTATTTAAATTAAAAAGATTGTTTAATTCCACAGTCCATAACCATATTTAATATAATTATGTATAATATCAGTATTTTCGGAGCCCATGAGAAAGTAATACATTTTCTTAAGTTTACTTAAATTAGCCACGTCATAAAACAGAAGAAAAAATTAATGTTAAATTATTCCAGAAGAGAGAAGGATTTAAAATTTGAAATGTCTTATCCACATTAAATAACTCAGGGTTTATGAAAAAAAAAAGTCCCAGATCATATGCCTTAATTAATTCCAGGTATACCTCCTAAAATACTTTCGTTTTCCATGTTATGGTTAAGTAGGAAAGTCAGTATGTATAAAAATGTCTCATTGTATATTGGACCTAGTGTTTTATCACTTGTGGTGACATCAAAAGTAATGATGTTAAGTAAGTATGTTTTCCTTCTCAAGCATGAGTCTTACCATGATAAGGATATGTCTGTAGTCTGTCTCTATCAAAAAATGTAAATTTTCCCTAATTTTGTAGGTCTTGGCAAACTTTTTCTGTAGAAGTCCAAATAGTAAAGATTTTCAGCTTTATAGGCAACAAGGTCTCCATTGCAGCGGTTGATCTTTGTTTTTGTAGTATGGAAGCAGCCATAGAAAATATTTAAATGAATACATGTGTCTGTGTTCCAATAAAACTTTATTTATAAAATCAGGGAGGCCCAATATGGCCTATGGACCATAGTTTGCCAACCTCTGTATTAGAATCATAAACCTTCGGACACGGAAAGGAATTTTAAAATAATGTAGAACTTGAGAGCAAATAGCTTTTTGCCTCTTGTACCCACTTTGGTTGACTGATAGTGATGCCTAGGATTATGATGCTATCTTGGAGTTTTACTGGAAGGAATACTGATTCGTTAGCACTATCTTCATCAATTTTCTCATTTATAAAATGGATTAATAGGTGGTGTAAAATTGGTTAATATCTACCCTATAGGACTGTTTTGAGGATTAAATGAGATAACATGACTCTCTAGCATTTGAAACTCTTCCCTTCACTTGTGTGAACAGGTCATTTTATTCTCCTTTCCTGGCATCTCATCTACCACCCACACTTCAAATATTGGTGTTAGTCGGGGTCTGTGTTCTTATTTTCTTACTCTCTTGAATGATGTCCCACTCCCTCAGTTTCAACTGCAATGTTCACCTGATGACTCCCAATCTGTATCTTTAAATTAAATCTTTCTTTTTTTAGATACCATATTTCTGACTGCAAATTGATGTTTCCACTTGCATGGTCTCATAGTATCTTAAACCAATGCACATATAAGTCACCTTGGGATCTTGTTTAAATGCAGAGTGTAATTCTGTACATTTGGTTTGCATCCTGAGATTCTACATTTCTAACAGTCCTGTAGATTGTGGCCTACATTTTTAGTAGAGAGGCGTTAAACTCAGCATGTTCAAAAACTAAATTAATCCTCTTCTCTGATAAAAGTATACCATCTTCTTCCCTGTTTCCACAAATGGCAGTATCATCAAGCAAAGTATAAGCATGAAACCCGAGAGTCATGATCAATATTTCTTTCACACTTTATACCCAGTTAGTCACCAAGTTGTGTCTCTTCCCCCTCCTTAATAAACCTTCATATCTTTGGCCTTCTCTATGATTTTAATCAGCCCCTTAGCATCTTTATCTGGAAGGATTAATTACTTATTATCTGGCCTGCCTGTCTCTTTTCCCTTTCTTCTATTCTCTCACACAACTACCAAAAAAAAAACCTTTTCCATAAGACAGATTTGATTATGTGACCCTCTTATTTAAAATTACCTGTAGTTCCCCATCACATATAAATGTCAAATTCAGCATCATATACAAGACCTATCATGACATGGATTCTCTTTTCTAGGTTCGTATATCTAGTTTATGTGCAGAGTTACTTGCAGTTCTCCGAACTCTGACCTCTAAGTCTTTGCACACACTGCATGTTCTTCCTGACTTATGCCTTTACCCATTTTTGTGACGAACCCCTATTCATTCCAGATTTAGTTCAAGCATTATTTTGGGATTGCCTTTGGACAGAATTTTACACCCTCCCCTTTGTGTTCCATAGCAGTTCCCACATAATATTGCAATGTATTTACTTAATTTACTGGTCTTCTGCCTCTACCAAACTGGGAACTCCTTAAAGCCCAGAATTTTTAAAATTTTTTTATCACTAATGTATCCCAAATCTTTCTAACACTGCACCTCACATTAAGAGGAATTCAAATATTTATTGAATGAATGAATGGATTTGCTAAATTTATCTAATTCAAAGGTGGCTCCACTTTTGACAAATGGGAAACTGGTGAAAAGCCTGTGTTTATTGGTTATATAGCCTTTATGAATTTATAGTCTTCAAATAGTCCTTTTCTGACTTTATTATTCTGATCTGAAAACTCATAATCTTTTTAGTTTGTCTTCATTATTGTACCTCCAGTCTCCCCAAATTCTCTTATTTAAATTGCTGTTCTCTGAACGTTTTTAAGTGCTTTTAAATTGTCTTGTTGGGAGGACCCAAATGACTCATGATTTTGCACTCCAGATAGTTTGTAAGTAAATATTCTTGTTTTAGAAATACTCTTCAATACGCAGTAGTTTTCACTGAGCACAGTTGAGAATTCAGTTCTGTTGTTGTTTGTTGTTGCTGCTGCTCTTCTCTTTGTATTGTTGTTTCTGGGTATGATATGACATTTTTGTTTATATTCTGATTCAAATATACTTATTTCTACTCAAGGGGAAAACATCTAATTATCATTCCATGTAATTTTATATGGCAATTCACAAATCTTAATTGTACCTGCCATAGCCCTTATTTATTAAATCTTAAAACCAATAGAGTACATTGTATGACTACTTGTAATGTGACCAAAGGTACATTGTTAGATCTAGCCAAGTGTATTTTGCCTCTGTATTTTCACTTGTTTATGATTTTGAAAATAACATCAAACATTTTTCTTTGACCTCAAGACATATCCTTCCTGTTATCCCTCATCCCCACTTATCCTCTTTTTGGAATGAGGAAGAAGATAGATTTTTATTTTTTAATACTCTTCATAGTTAACTTTGAAGAGCCTCTGATTTATAAGAAGAGTACCATGACTTTCTAAGCAGTGTATATAGCAAAACTTGGCTCTGAGGTCTCCTAGGCAGCTACACAAATGACATGCTGATAAGATTCTTGAGGACAAAACTGAAACATTCAACGTTACCACTTAATGTTTTCTAATCATTTCTGCATATTTGATCGTTTTTGAAGTGTTATTTACAAATCTGCCTTAGTAATTGACAAATAATTAAATTAGCATAGGAACATTTTCTTGAAATAGAGCGACTGAACTAAGCTCTTTAGGATTCTCCAAACTGATATCACTTAGTTATTTTTAAAACAGCAGAAAGAAAACTAGTAAAATAAGTTACTCTGAGGTCTTTTTTGCAAGTCTCTTATATGCTCATATAGCCTATCCTAGTGCCATGTGTATATAGTAAGTATTCAAATATATTTTAAAAGATTAATTTACTGCCTGTAAAATGTGATTTGCTACCGCAGGGTATTTAATAGATATTCCCCTCAGTCAAAATTAGAAGCTTGTGGATTTATACATAGCAGAGAGAAGAGAAAAGAACAGATGAAAATAGTCATTAGTGACTCATCTTAATATTTCTTTTCAATATATTCCCTCATTCCGGCCTGTTAAAAAAATCTTCTGGGGCTTCCCTGGTGGCACAGTGGTTGAGAATCTGCCTGCCAATGCAGGGGACACGGGTTCGTGCCCTGGTCTGTGAAGATCCCACATGCTGCGGAGCAACTAGGCCCGTGAGCCACAACTGCTGAGCCTGCGCGTCTGGAGCCTGTGCTCCGCAACAAGAGAGGCCGCGATAGTGAGAGGCCAGCGCACTGCAATGAAGAGTGGCCCCCACTTTGCCGCAACTAGAGAAAGCCCTCGCACAGAAACGAAGACCCAACACAGCCATAAATAAATAAACAAACAAACAAACAAACTTCTGAATGACAGAAAGTTATAGGTTCTGTTACAGATAGAAAAAAAATACTTAAGAATAGTTCTTTTCTCCAGAGAAGTTTCTTATGTAGTAGCGACCACACTGTGTATTAAATTATGCTTTGCACAGATGTGCATATAGCATTTGCCAAAGGAATGGTTATAAAATGCAACAGCATATCATAAGCTCATTTTTGTTTGGGGATTCAGGAGTATTGGACAACTCTTAAAGGATGAAGTTAATAGAGAAGATATTCTAATAAGCCAGAATAATATAATCAGTTTTATTTTGAACTAAATTTAGTAGGGGATGTTTAGATGGGATATCTGAGTGTCTTCCAAAAAGCCTGCAAAACCTTAAAAAGAAAAAGCATTTACTAATCTTTGTTTAGTTGTCCTAGATGCACATATATAAAGATCTTCATAGTGAAACATGTCTATAGTGCTATTGCTAGTTGATTCTAAGTTTAAAAAATAAGTTCTCAAAAGCATGTGTGTCACTATAAAATCTAATTAGAGGCTGTTGCAAATGATAACAGAACTGGAATTAAGAACTGTTCTCATTTAGGTATCCAAATGAAACATCCCACTTGTATTTATCTTTTTTAATGTATTCTAAAATATTTTAATTTGGACAGTTAGACATGATCATTACTAAAAACTTGGTCGGGTATTCCCTGGTGGCGCAGGGGTTGAGAGTCCGCCTGCCAGTGCAGGGGACACAGGTTCGTGCCCCAGTCCGGGAAGATCCCACATGCTGCGGAGCGGCTGGGCCCGTGAGCCATGGCCGCTGAGCCTGCGCGTCCAGAGCCTGTGCTCCGCAATGGGAGAGGCCACAACAGTGAGAGGCCCACGTACCGCAAAAAAAAAAAAAGTTGGTAAAACGTAGATCAACAACTACCCAAAAAGGAAAACATTTATTTAAAACTTCCCCAAACCCTATGCTCCAGATATAATCTCTATTAAAATAATAGTTATTGTTTTGGACTGTTAGGTATATTGTGCTAAGTATTTTATATTTTCTCAATTTTTTTAAAGATTTCGTTCAGTGCTTCTACGCTTTTTCCTTTGCAAATATATTTATGGATAAATATATAAAAACATTAGTGTAAATATATAAAAACAATATATCCATCTTTTTATAACAACCATGGGGAACAAACTGATCTATAAACCTTTATATATGAGTTTGCATCTATATCACTAAATACAGATTAATATAATTTTTAAATGATTGGATGCACTTCATAGTGGTCCATGTTAATTTATTTAACCAATAGCCTTTTACACACTTAGATTATTTTCAGATCTCCAGACTTGGTTAGCAGGATCTTATATATCTTTGCATTATAGTGTAATTATTTCCTCAGAATAAAGAAGTTCCTAGAAAGAGACATGCAGATCTAAAGAGTATGCACATTTTAAGACTTTTGGTTCATTTTGCTAAATACCTTTGAGGAAGGATGTGTCCATTTATATTTCTCCCACAACTAAGCCCCTGCAAAATCTTCTCTAGCCCCCTCTCTAACCTTAAATATTCTTTTAATTTTTGCCACTCCAAATGAGGTTACATCATTGTTTTGACAGTTCTTTGATTATTTGTGAGGTTGAACATTTATTTCAAACATTTAGTGACCATTTGTTTATTTGTATATTACATGTTCCTGTCCTTAGTTCATTTCTCTAGTACCTAGTATTTATTTGTTTCTTATTAATAGAAGCTCTCTTGCATACTGTGAAAGAGATAATTTTCCCCAGTATGTCATTTTTTACTTTTAACTTTGTTTATAGTAGTGTTTTGCTGTACTGAGTGTCCATTTTTATATAGGCACATCTATAAAGCATTTTCTTTAGGATCATGCATAAGAGAAGAATTTTATATTCCATATTCCAAGTTGTCTGTGTTAAATGCTGTGGTAGTATTCTGAATCTTTTTTTTTTAAAACACTTATCACAACTGACATTATCAGTGATGTGATTGCTTGTTAGCATCTTTCTTCCTCATCAGACTATAAACTCCATAAGAGCAGGAATTCTGTCTGTTTTATATAGCTTTATATCTGCTATCTGATATACAGTAGATATTCAAAAGTATTTATTGAATAACACACACACACACACCCAGATGCACGCACACATAATCTCTCTCTCTCTCTTTCTCTCTCTTTGGTTTGCTAGCTTTACCATATTAAAAAATCCAGGTATTTTTATCTCTCTAGATTTCCTAATCGGTTTCTTTGTTTTATCATTCTGGTATAAGTATCACATAGTATATTAATAAACAATTGAACAAATTCTCCCATATTTTACTTTTTCTAAACTGTCCTATTCTCCAACATTTACTCTTTTATTATTATTTTTTAAATTTAATTATTATTGTTTGCATTGGGTCTTCGTTGCTGCACATGGGCTTTCTCTAGTTGTGGCAAAAGGGAGCTACTCTTTGTTGTGGGGTGTGAGCTTCTCACCGCGGTGGCTTCTCTTGTTGCAGAGCACGGGCTTCAGTAGTTGTGGCTCGCGGGCTCTAGAGCGCAGGCTTAGTAGTTGTGGTGCATGGGCTTAGTTGCTCCACGGCATGTGGGATCTTCCCAGACCAGGGCTCAAACTGCCGTCCCCTGCATTGGCAGGCAGATTCTTAACCACTGCGCCATCACGGAAGCCCTCAAACATTTACTTGTATAGCTGAGTTTTACTGTCATTTTGTCAAGCCCTCAAAATCCCATTGTAATTTGGGATTTTTATTAATTTGAAAAAATTAACATCTTAAAATATTTAGTCTTCCCATTGAAGAATATGGGATATCTTTCCATTTTATATGTGTTTTAGTTTCCTTGATTTTTCCATATAGGATCTAATTTTTTATTTATTGAGTTTATTTCTACTTTTTTTGTTGATCTTCGTAGCTAGCTTGGATTTGGAAGTAAACAATTTGAATATTTTTTTCTTTTAAGCTTTCGTCAGGAGTGATAAACCCAGACTATTCAGAGGACTACAAATCAAGGTAATGCAATTTTAATGTGATCCTTTTTTCCAGCATTTTCTTTTTTTAATTAAAAATTATTCAGATATTTTAATTGACTTTATTTTTTAGTGCAGTTTTAGGTTTACAGAAAAATTGATTCGAGAGTTCCCATGTACTCCCACCCCCACCTTCCAGTTCCCTTACTAACATCTTGCATTGATGTACATTTGTTACAATTGATGAACCAATATTAATACATTATTATTAATTAAATTTCATAGTTTGCATTAGAGCTTATACTTTGTACAGTTCTAGGAGTTTTACCAAATGTCATGTATCCACCATTACAGTATCATACAGAAGTTTCACTGCCCCCAAAATTCCCTGTGCTCCACACCCCACCAAACTCCTGGGAACCACTGATCTTATTACTATCTCTATAGTTTTGCCTCTTCCAGATTGTCATATAGTTGGAATCATACAGTATGTAGCCTTTTCAGATTTCAGATTTAACTTAATATGCATTTACATTTCCTTTGTGTCTTTTCTGTAGCTGGATAGCTCATTTCTTTCTAATGCTGAATAATATGAATAGTATTCTGTTATATCATGGTTTGCTTTTCTATTCATCTATGGAAGGACATGTTGGTCACTTCCAGTTTTTAGCAATTATGAGCAACAGTGCTATATACATTTTTGTGTAGACATACGTTTAACTTATTTGGGTAATTACCTAGGAGCACGATTACTGAATCATATAGTAAGAGTGTTGGGCAGTTTCTTACAAAGCTAAACTATTTTCCAAAGTGCTTATATCATGTTGCATTCCCACTAATAATGAATGAGAGTTATTGCTCCACATTCATCAGCATTCGTTATTGTCAGTGTTTTGGATTTTAGCCATTCTAATAAGTGTGTAATGTTATCTCATTGTTGTTTTCATTTGCAGTTCCCTAATTGAGAATATTTCCACATGCTTATTTGCCATCTCTATATCTTCTTTGGTGTATCTGAGATTTTTTGCTCACTTTTAAAAGTTTTAATTATGGTAAAAAAAAACTTAAAAATAGTTAAGATGGTAAGTTAAATGTTAAGGGTGAAGTTCAGTACTGGTAAGTTAAATGTTATGGGTACAGTTCAGTAGTGTTAAGTATATTCACACTGTTGTGCAACAGATGTAGAATTTTTTTGTCTCGCAAAACTGAAACTCTATACCCATTAAACAGTAATTCCCCCTCTCTCCTGCCTCCAGCCCGTGGCAGCCACCCATCTACTTTATTTCTATGATTTTGACTACTTTAGATATTTCATATGAGCAGAATCGTATAGTATCTGTCCTTTCATGACTGGCTTATTTCACTTTAGCATGATGTCCTCAAGGTTCATCCATGTTGTAGCATGTGACAGGATGCTTTTTCTGCATCTATTGGTATAAGATTTCTTGTTTAGCCTGTTGGTAGTAATAGATTACATTAATTCATTTTCAAATTTTGCACCAGCCTTGCATACTTGGAGTAAATCCAAAATGGCCATGATATATAATTCTTTATACACTGTTGGATTTGATTTAATATTTTGAACATTTTTGCAACTATGGGCTATGTCGTTTCTAATTTTTGGACTAAAATGAGTTTTTGAATAAAAATTGAATTTTTAAGAATAATTTATGTAGATAACCTGACCCGAAAGATTTTAGTAGTAATGTTATTGGTTTATTAGCTTAGGGGGCCAATTTCTAAATTCCAGAAATGGGTTGAGAATATACCAAATGCAATTACAACATCAGAGCTTGTCTCCATCTCTGAAGTTCACAACTCTAGAAGACCTAGTAAAACTGAAGCATAATTGCTGAGTTTTTCAGCTCCCTTCATCATCACTGCTGCATTTTTAGTTACATGGTCCTTAATTTAGCATTGAAGATTGATCACTTAATGAATGGGATCAGGTTTGTTAGCACATTTACCCAGAGTCAGAATTCCTCAGAGCTCTCTCATGAAATATTGGAACCCACTAGTAGGTCTGAAGTTTCAGGAATCCAGCCGAATTATAAACTAATTACAACAGAATAAATTTTCTTTGGTTTAAGAAATCTAATGAAAGTCCAATACAGAATTGTCTGATAGTTTGTATGCACAGCCTATTTCAATATGGCTCTTAAGAGTCATTCTCATTGAATATTTTGAACTTGTCTGCCTCCTTCATTAGATTTGCAACTCATTTGAGAGTTGGAGTGTGTCAGGTATGCAGTAAATACTTGTTACATTCAAGAATAAGCTTAAATCCCAAGTAAACTGCTTGATACCAACAGGTGTTTCTCTTCAGAAGTAAAATGTAATTTTTGTTTTAATTGTCATTTTTGATGAAATCCCATTACACTCTTTTCTAAAAGACTTCCTTTAAGAGCTGTTGTGATGTTATGTCTAAAAGCTTATTACTATTAAATTTAATTAAGCTGGATTGAATTGATTTGGACTTTGGTTGAAACTGAAAAGGCTCATTCTAAGCAGAAAATGATATTCCTCTTATTTGTAGTATGTTCGCGGTTCAGACCCTGTGCTAAAGCTTTTGGACGACAATGGGAACATTGCTGAAGAACTAAGCATCCTCAAATGGAACACAGACAGTGTAGAAGAATTCCTGAGTGAAAAGTTGGAACGCATATAAATCTTGCTTAAATTTTGTCCTATCCTTTTGTTACCTTGTCAAATGAAATATCACAGCACCTAGAAAATAATTTAGTTTTGCTTTCTTCCATTGATCAGTCTTTTACTGTGAGGCATTAAACATCTAATTAAAAGTTGAAGTGGCAGCACAACCCATGTTATGTAAGGAGTTGGCAAGCTTAACAAAACCCATTTTGTATAAGTTTCCATCCTCCATTTGTTGATACCACTAACAAAATGCTTTGTAATAGTCTTGTGGTTAATTATGCAAATGATAATTTGTGATAATTGGTCCAGTTTTACGAACAACAGATTTTTTAATTAGGGAGGTTAATAAGGGAGATGATTACTGTACCTCATGTGCTGTGTGCTTTTTGAAAGTGAAGACAGAAAACTACAAAGCAAATAAGATATACCGAGCCTCAACAGATTGCCTCTTCTCAGATCCTCTCATATTTTTGTATTACCCAGCTTTCCTTTTAATAGAAACGTTATAGCTTATAATGAATGCACCGCATAAAAACTGTATGGCTTCATTCTTGTAAAACAGATTCAAGATCTACGGTAAGAGTGAAACATTCACACAAAGATTCGCATTAATGAAGACTACACAGAAAACCTTTTTGTGGATTTGTGTGGATCTGATATTTAGCAAATTTTTGTGCTTTACATTCTTACAGAAAAGTTAAAAATTATCATTTGTAAGACCAGAATATAAATAAAACGTTTCAAAAATCTATCTGAATTTGAAATCTTATTTGTTCTTTCATGTTTAAAAATGACATATTTCTCAGTGCATTTTCTTTTCATATAAGCCTTTTTTTTAAGTTAAAAACACTAAAATATCTACATTGTTTAAAACTTCTAACTTATTGTGGGTAATAGTATTTTGTCTGTGATTTTTTTATTTGTCAAAGTGCTTTCATTTGTGAACACATTTTCATTTATATCATATAAGGAATTTCTCTTAAAATATAGTTTTTTAGGAGCTATTAAAAATGATTTTTCCACTTCCCTGGTGGCACAGTGGTTGTGAATCCTCCTGCCAATGCAGGGGACACAGGTTCGATCCCTGGTCCGGGAGGATCCCACATGCCACAGAGCAACTAAGTCCATTCGCCACAACTACTGAGCCTGTGCTCTAGAGCCCGCGAGCCACAACTACTGAGCCCATGTGCCACAACTACGGAAGCCTGTGCGCCTAGAGCCTGTGCTCTGCAACAAGAATAGCCACCACAATGAGAAGCCCACGTACCGCACCACAATGAAGAGTAGCCCCTGCTTACCACAACTAGAGAAAGCCTGCACACAGCAATGAAGACACAGCACAGCCAAAGATAAATAAATAAATAAAAATAAAAAATAAATTTAAAAAAATGATTTTTCTTTGCTTAACTTTCTATGTGATGAAAGTGACTTCTTAAAGAGTGGTTCATTAAGAGCAACATTCATCCAAATGACTTTAGGTCATTTAAACCTTACTAACTTAACAAATTGGTCTAGTATCCTATTATGTCAGCTCATTCTTAGGATGAATTCTTATAATCTGGAAACTTTTATTTTTTATTTTGAATTAAACTATCTTAATGAGGATATTTGAAAGCCTTAAAGACAACTCTACCAGAAAATGTTTGTAGAATATTTAACAAAGGTCCGTTATTAATCTTTACTGGATTTTATGTCATGTCATTTTAAATTTTAAGACATTTTTTAAGCCAGTTTGAGAATGAAAAAATACTATGAGAAGTCCTGGCAAACAAACTGTGGTCTATTTTTGGTCATCCATAGTAATGGAGAGGGCTATCACTTTGATAGTACAAGGCCCTGGATAATGTACTAATCCCTAATGGTGGTTATTACTTCAGAGCAAAACGGAGGTGAAGCCAATCATGAACAGTGGGAAAAAAACAGCACGAGAGGAGTTGCTGCCACATACAGAAAAATAGTTGGATAGAAGGCGTGAAACTTCAGAACTTCTGGGATTGGCATAGAAAACTAATTGGACTATTCTCTGAGCAGGAAGAGCCATTCAAATGAGTATCTGGCACTGGGATTTAAAGCGAGAAGCCTGAAAAGTTTATTATATTCAAGTTATTATTAGAGATCAGAAGAGGCTGAAGAACCTTAAACTTTGAAGAACTTGAAGCTTTAAGTTCTTGAGTTGATGAATAAATGTGTTATCTACCAAGCTCCACTATTTTAATTGGGAGGTTTGAGTTAATTAGCCAATCCAACTGTTTTTCACCAATTCCAATCATCAGCTAAAACCTTTTTAAAGAGACAAATCTTGATTACCAAGAAAGGGGTGTATAAATACTGAGGCAGAAAAGTACCATTTTATAGCCGAATTTTGACATTTGATTAAGCTTATTCAAGTTCACAAATATGGATATGTAATAGTTGATATTTATAAATTTGCTCCCCCTGCCAAAATTATGTTACTTATAACCTAAAACAGTTAACGAGTCTCTAAATTCCTGAATTTGGCAAAAGCCTCTTACAAGGAGCTATGAGCAAGAACTGACATTTCCTGTTTTAAGAGGATTTGAGACTTGAAAGCCAGTCTAAAATTAAAGTTAATAAAATGCATAAAATATTTTTGAAAGCAAAACTGCAAAACTTTGGAAATTAAAATTGGCAGTAGCTAGCATGTGAAAGCATGTCTACAAATATGGGAAGTAGGAGTACAGATTACAGATATGAGCACAGCTAGGTATTTCTTTTACTTGAAAATTAAAGTATCTTAATTATATCCTGTGGTGACAGAGAACTTTTTCTGGAAGGAGAGGGTCTGTGTTTGTGATCCAGAATTCAAATTAGACTTTTGCTGATTAAAATAAACATTTTACCTTCAAACTGGTCCTTAGCCCAGGAATCAGTAACATGAAACATTACCTAGAAATACTAAAGGAATAAAACTAAGAATTGTCTGAGACCTCTAAAACTAATTCTTTCCTGTTAGCCACTCTTGAAACAGACTATGAATATGTGCAGCATTTTATCTACCATTATGAAGAGATTGAAGTTTAGACCTTAAAATTCAAAACTTTTTTAAAAAACCATTTTGGTAGAAAAACTAAGAGTTGATCCTTATTCACTAATTCCATATTTGCAAATTCACCTGCTCGTTCAAATTGTAACCCCACAGTCACAATACTCTTGGCACTTTTGAAGTCATCCACGGATATGCACAAGGCAGTGAAAAATTTGAGTGCCCCAGTGCACACATTCCCAGCCAAGTTCAGACAAAGTGACACTGCCTTGCTTCAGCTCATGCTGTGAACAAGCATCCTTTTCACAGTCTATTTTAATGCCACATTTTTTGCATTTTTGTGCTTTTTGTTGGTGATTTCGCTCTTTAGAATGGCCCCCAAGCATAGTACTAAAGTGCTGTCTAGTGTTACTAATAAGTGCAAGAAAGCTGCGATGTGCCTTGTGGGAAAAATACATGTTTTAGATAAGTTTTGTTCAGGCATGAGTTACAGTGCTGTTGGCCATGAGTTCATCGTTAGTAAATCAGCAGTTATTTTTTAAAAGGTGTCTTTAAACAGAAACACGTTATACATCGATAGGTTGGCAAAAATGTGACCAGAGGCTTCCAGGAATCTAACCCTTTGTATCCCCTAAGAGCAATGGTTCTGTGTTCGCCAATTCAGTGTTTGCAGTGACTTTATTGAACATAATAACTACTGTAAGTAATGAGGATTGACTAATTTACCATTTTTATTGAGACATAATTCACATTTGAAATTCACCTACTTGGAGTATGCAATTCAATGGTTTTTAGTATATTCACACAGTTATCCAACCATCACTACAATCTGAATTTAGAATATTTTCATCACGCCAAAAAGAAATCCTATATGCATCGGCAGTCAATCCCACACCCACCTACCCTCAGTCCTCGACAGCCTGTCTAGGTTGTCTCTGGAAATGTCTATGGATTTGCCTATTCTGGACATTTCATATAAACAGGATCACAATATGTGCCTTTTGTGTCTGGTTTCTTTCACTTAGCATGTCTTCAAGGTTCAACCATATTATAGCATGTATCAGTCCTTCATTTCTTTTTTGTGGCTGAATAATATTCCTTTATACAAATATACCACATTTTATCCATTATTTGGTAGACATTTGGGTTGTTTCCACTTTTTGGCAACTGTGAATAACACAGCTATATACATTGATGTACAAGTTTTTGTGTGCAGATGTTTTCATTTCTCTTAGATACATAACCTAGGAGTGGAATTGCTGAGTAATATACTATCAATGTTTAACTTTTTCAGGAACTGCCAAACTTTTCCAAAGTGGCTACACCATTTTACATTCCCATCAGCAATGTACAAGAATTCTAATTTCTGCACATCCTGTATTCTTCATCTCTCATTAAGGGTACTCATTTTACATTCTTATCATCAGGGGCCATTGAGATGTGTTAATAAGCACTGTGCCCTCCACTAAATAGTCTTAAGACTGCAATTCTTTTAATTCTTTAGATGGTATGTTTTATTCTCTCAATTTTTCCTGCTTCTTCTGCCTTCTGTCACTTTACTGGATTTTAATTCATTTTTCTCTTCCCCAGCTTCAGTCATGAAAAAAACTTTAATGTTCCCATATCTAATAGAGGTCACATTAAACAAATGAGAGGCAACCATTAAACAAACAGCATTGCAATTATGGTAAAAGCAATGAAGAAAAAAGTTACTAGAAGAGAGTTACAAAGGGGACTAGTGAGTTCAGAGATTTCTGAAGGATGTGACATTTAAACCAAGGCTTGAAATATGAACAGAAGCTATTCAGGAAAAGAGGAAATTGAAATGCCTTCCAATTAGAAGATCGAGCACATGAAAAGACCCAGACTCAGTAGAAAGTCGGGCATCTCCACACACCTGAAAGAAGCCAATGCATCTGGAAACTAGCGAGCCTGAGGAGAGAATAGTAGAAAATGAGGTTTGGGAAGGTAGGCAAGGAGGACCCAGTTGGTGCTGTCTTAAGAATTTA